GGGTTGTTGCGGGGCGCTGCGCGGCGGTTATAAGGAAACAGGATTAATGGCTGCTTAAGCCGCCGACATGCGCATAATTGTCGCCAGCGTTATGCCTTTACCGACTCACACTCTCGCACTCACACTTTTGCTTTTTCTTTTACAGGATCTCCATTTGCCGGCAGCCCTTTTGGTCAGCTCGTGGCTCAGACCGTGGGCTGAAATTGAGCAATTGAAACGGAAACAATTTGCCCAATGAATTGAGTTTAGAGAGTATTTTATGTAGAGTTTAATGGTGTGCTTAAAAATAAAAAAATATATATTTCTAAATGTTCTTAAACAATTTTGGTGTTTGATTATTTGAGCGGAAGTTAAGCCTACAGCTAGGAGTGTTGTGCCAAAAGATTGCAAATAATTTGTGAAGCTAACTAATATTTTTAAGCAATTGCTCCTAATTTTTAGTAAAAAAAAGAAAATTAAATAAGAAAACAAACTAAAACAATAAATTAAATTTTTTGTTAAATTTTAGATTAAACCAAAAAAATGTATTTTAAACATAAAAAAAAAATGTGTTCAATTAAAAGGAACATTTTAATTTTGGATAAATAAAAACTAAAAATTTAAAAACAAAAAATTAATTAGTTCAAGTTGCCGCTCGCCCAGCCACTGCCTGTCGACAATGTTTATTTTTGTTTTGTTTTTTTGGCTACTACTTTTGCTGGCATCGCTGACTACTGTGCCGGCGGCTGGTAATGGGGCTTACATTTTTGGTCGTGCAATGGGGCGTATGCGTAATAATAATTACAGGACGCGTTGCTGCTGCTGCTGCTGCCGCTGCTCGCTCGCTGAGCCAGTTATATTTATTAAAGGCTTTAAAACCTGTCCTGCAGCTTGTAATACACACGAAGTACATATATTTAAATATATTATGGCACGAGTATTTGCACACATTCCAGCCTGCCTGCCTGCCTGCCTGCCTTTGCCACTTGTTTCTGCCGCTCTTTTATGGAGTTAAATATTAGAAGAATGTGGTTTATCACCTGGCTGGAGGAGGAGCGGAAATGGCTGACAAAGATTGCTAATGCAAATGACGCACCAGGCGGCTTCAATAAAAAATATGGCCTCAACAGGATTAATACATTATTTCCGGTTGGCACTTGATGGAGGAATGGTAGCCAGAGAGACACATGTGCTTGGAGCTGCTTGGACTGTGCCATTCGGTATTCCTGCTCCTGTTCCTGTTGTTCTTTTGCGCTTTTATGATTATTGTAGTGCCATCCTCGTTCTCGTCCTCGCAGGCACTTATGCTTATGTTTTTTTGGCCCTTGTGGAGCTCCACCAGCACCACCACTCTCTGCTCCACCACTCCAAACTCCACACCACTCGACAGCACTCCACACAGCACTCCACTTTCTCCTCTTTCGAGTGCACTTTGCTGTTTCATTTCAACTATATTTGTTCACCATATTTGTATACAAAATTCTTCTCTTTTTTTTTTCTTCTTCCATTATTTGCACTCCTCTGCGCTGCTTCTAGTACCCCCCGGAAAGGATATGCGCAGGCCAGTCGCTCTGCCACTTCACACACACGCGAACACATGCAGGATCAAGTGCTGGAAAAGTGCATATTAATTTGATGTTTTTGTCATCTGAAGTAGTTCAAGGAGCAGTGGCACTGGCACTGGCCCCACTGGGGGTCAAAGTTGGGTAGAGCAGCGTAACAATGGGTGTCTATATAAACCAATTCTGAGATGTATTCTTGGAGGCAATCTGTCATAGTATTAGGCACGCAAAGGGCATCAAAGGGAATTATTATTAAATTATAATTTATCATTTTTAGGCACAGAAATTTCTTTATAAATGGTACAATAAATGTACAAACAAAACGAGAAGGGACGTGTGAAACGCTTCTTACGCGTCACAACTTTTATACCCGGCACTCAGTATTACATCTGTAACTTTGTGTTTTTTTTTTAACTTTACGTTTTACATTTTACATTTTTTCTACACCGCACGAAGCAGAGTATGAAATGAGCAAATGTGCACATGTTTGACTTAAGAAGTGATGTATATGTAGATGACAGATGTAGAACAAATTTAAAATGTCACATGTAAAATTCTATAAAAACCACTAAGATATCTGACGGAGTTCCGGGTATGAAAGTTGTGACGCGTCAGAAGCGTCTCGTTTTTTACTTCTGTCAAAACTAAGTTTCTTTGAGATGTAAAATTGATCAAAAATGTTTCAGAAAAATATAAAGAAAACTTAAATGTATTTAAACATTTTAATTATGAATTTTTTAAATGAAAACAGCAGCTGCCATTCCCTTGTCTGCTCTGCTAATTGTTCGTTTATTTTTATTTTGTATGAAATTGAAATCGCTGAGAGAAACGCAAAAAAGTCTAAGAACTCGCTAAAACGACAAAATAAATTAAATGAAAATTTCGCGTGAAAAAATTTTGTCTCAATCTTTTTCCCGCTCTCTCTCTCTATCTGACCATCGAGACGTTTCTGTGCTGTGTTCTGATTTGCTATCCAGCTCAGTCTTTGGCTATTCATTCACTTGGCCTTTATAATAAAACAATAAACTGTAACAATAGCAATTAAAAATCGCTGAAAGCGGATGTCCTGATAAGGACCCTGAAACAGGCAGCGAACCGGCAGGCAGGCAGCCAAGCAACCACTGGACACGCTTCATCTGGATGACCCTCGTCCGCACAGCTGTCCGTTGTATGCTGTCCGTTGTGCGTTGTCCTCTGTTCCATTGTTGTAATTATGCATTATGCTTTTGATTTGGTCATAGCCCTAGCCCTAGCCCCTCTGTCCTACCACCACTCTGTCGCTTTGAGCATTCCGTTTTTTTTTTTTGTGTTTTTCATCCTTTTGTCAGTTTATGCCTAGTAATTTTTTGTTTCCAGCAGAGGGAGCGAAAGCGGAACTGCTGGCTCAAATGTTTCACTGTCCCTATTCCAGTTCCTGTGCCGGTCAACCCGCAGCGAAAGACGCGAGATTCCGACATTTTTCCAACTAGGAAAACTATTTTGGTCAAGCAAAACTCAACTTTAAGGTGCACAAAAGGTTGCCAACTGCATTTTCGCTTGCTGCTTGAAAATCTTTCAATTGCAATTTTGAGTCTTAAGGTGTCTGCCAAAGTTCATTTCAGCTGTGGATTTAAATTACAAGAGCAGGACAGAGCAGAGCAGGGCAGACCAGTTCCCGCTTCAGCAATCAAAAAGGCCAAAACACAATTTGCTGCGATAAATCAAAATCGAAGGAGCAAGTGCAAGGCCCAGGCCCAGGCCCTAGCATGGTTGAGTATGCAAAATGGGCAAGGACAGGACATGGATAAATGTCGAAGGAAGAGGGACAAGAGGAACCACAATCGCAATGCAGTCAATAAAATCAAAGGCAATCATGTTGCAGATGCCCTCATACAGATGTCTCGATGGTGGTCTTCGGCCTCTGTGCCTCTTCCGTCTGTCTACTCAACTGTCTCGTGTCTGTTCAGGTATTTTGTTTATAATAATGCCCAGCAGTGTGTTAAACAATTACATTAGGCAGTTGGCAATGTGGGTCGGGTGGTATTTGGTGCCACAGCAAAATGGAAATCTAATTGACAGTTATGAAGATTGTCAAACATACAATTATAACACTCCAACTATCAATGGTCAAACATTGATTTGTGACGTGCATAAGTGCCCAATGCCCCATGCCCCATGCCACATGCCCCATGCCACACACTCTGTCTTGCCGCATGCATTTGTAAATTATTGACTCGAGGAGGAGACTCAATTCGGGCACTGGCTCCGGGCTTGAGTGGCTGCTTGAGTGGGTTCTGGGTTATGGGTTCTGGGTTCTGGCTTCGAATTATTAACATGTTAATCCAAATGTAATGAGCGTGGGGATAACTCGTAGTCGTATGAATTGCAAATATATATTCGATTGATATTATGCTAATTTAATTGGCAGCCAGTGGAAATGTATTAAAAACGAGAGGACGCGTGTGAGGCGCTTCTTACGCGTCACAACTTTTATACCCGGTACTCAGTTATACATCTGAAGCTTGTAGTTTTCTTCAAATTTTACATTTTACATTTGATCTAAATCTACATCTACATCTCTTCTTGCGCCAACACGGTCTTTTGGGGTTTAGCCACTTCAAATTAATTACTTCATTCTGGCTATAATAAAGATCCAATCGGATCCCAATTCGGTGATCTGATATGGTATTCCGTTTTCAGTTTTCCGATATCTTCAAAATTGTGGATACCGCAGATTTTCGCCCATTGTGGAGGCGGAAGGGGGCGGGACGAAATTGTAAAATACACTTGAAACGGTGTAAGCATACAGCCAGCTGGATGCAACATTTGGTGGCTCTAGCTTTTAGAATCTCTGAGATCCAGGCGCTCCACAAGACAGACAGACATGTGTGAATTGACTCGGCTATTAATGCTGATCAAGAATAAATATACTTTGTGGAACGCTTCCTTCTGTGTGTTACATTTTTTCCGCACAAGTACAAATATATTTACTTTTCGAGGACCGAGTATAAAAAAATATAGCAGGCGTAACAGCTAAGAATATTATTTTAACTCATCATATCTGCAGTGTCTAATTCTTTTATTTGTTTAACAAAACACTTACATTAAAGCCAATTAAACATTAAAATGATCAGTCAAAAGTCATTTAAAATCAGCTGCTGCAAATTAAATTCGATTAAAGTTCAACAGCTGTTTTTCTTTCCATCTGGTCACTCTATTTGGCTTATTCCCATTCGTTTCAGAGCTTCGAAATTGAAGCCACGCGACACTATCTTGTCTGTCAGTTCTTTCTTTGTAACAACTTCAAGCTGCCGGCAGCTCTCTGGAATTTCTCAAGTCAAATAAAATTTGTAATTTTGCGGGTCAAGTGCAAATTGTTGTAATTCTTGTAAGTAAGTCTGTCGAAGAAATTGAGGAAACTAATGAATCCAATCCTCTGCCAGTCCAGTCCACCAATCTCCAAGGAATTTTCAATGAAAAATGGAATATCACTTTTTCTTTGAATGCGATGGTTGTGGTTCTGACTTCCTAGTTAAATACCGCTACAAGTGTTTGAAGTGCGACACGTATAATCTGTGCCAGACTTGCTACGACAACAAGGTAACTACATTACACCATCACTTGGGACACGCCATGCAGTGTTTGCTGGACCCGGAGGCCAGGAGACTGCACTTTTCCGGTGAGCCAATGCCAGTGCTGTGCGCCGAGAGCTTCACCTGTCCCCTCTGCGGCATTATGGGCCACACGGACATCGAACTGATGAAGCATGCGCGCGAGAAGCATCACGACGATTGGACCCTCGTTACTTGTCCTTTGTGCGCGGCAACGGCCTCGGGCGATCCCTATCCATTGCGCAACATTTCGGAACATTTTCGCTCCCACCATGGCAGCACAGCGGGCATTCTACGTAACAATCCACGGGTCAACGTTGAACGCAATGCACCACCGGAGGCTGACATTGATCTGGCCGAAGCCTGGCCATTAAACCTCACTTCTGCGTTGCGCCCCTCGAATAATTATAGTCCAGATCCGTTTCCCGAGATTCCGGCTGGGTTACCTTTTCTCGATTTGAGCGACGAGGAGTATGTCTAAAAAGCCAAAACTCTAACACTACCATCAGCATTTGACGAAGGAGGATAAAAACCATTCAAGCCAGCCACGAAAACTTCGTTTAACATTTTTTCGTGCAACAATAAAAGTGCTAAATGCTAAACTTAACAATAAATTTAGCACAAAAATTGTAATTTACCATGGGCGGGCGGGATTCGCACTTAATTTTTGGCTGTGTCTGCCACAACAAATGAAATCAGAGCACAGACACGGATGGGCCCAGAAGGAAGCTCTCCAAATTACGAATAGAGAGGAGAGGGACTTTCGACGTTCAACTGCTGCTGCTGCCTGCATTAATGTCCAAGATAAATTCTGCAATGCATTGATTATTGGGGCAAAAACTAACCAAGAGCAAGCAAACATAATGAACTTATCAACGAGAGCAAATTTTCATTTGATTTGATTTTGATTGCGTTTTATATTAATGCCAAAAACACACACACCAAACCATACATTCCATCCTCCCCCTATCCACCTTCTGTCCTCATGGCAGAAACATTTTTTCACGCGGCCCAACTGATTGGCAGCCAGAAACAACTGTTTCTGTTGCCGTTTCTCTTTCAGTTTCAGCCAAAAATAAAAGAATTTTCCACACTCCATGAGTAGCAATGTCAAAACGTGGAATATACTATACGGGCTTTACGGTTTACTACGGGCTGCGGATATTTTGGCATCGTTTTTGCATGCTGTAAACGCTCGTCTCTGTCTCTCTCTCTCTCTCTCTCTCTCTCTCTTTCTGTCTCTGTGTTTTGGGGGAGGGGCACAAAGTTATGAAAACCTTGTCATGGCATCCATCAAGCGAAACAATAGCAACACAAAAACCGGAAAGCGGCTGCAAAAAACAAAAAAATTAGGGATTTACTTTACGTTCTTTTTTTTTTTGCTTGTTGCTATATTTTTGCATTTTGAATACCCCCAAAGACTTGATTGATTGAACAAGCCAGCCTGCAAAAACGTTAGATTTATGTGGAAATATTAAGGAAAGTCGCTGCCATTTTTGTTGTTATTTTTTTGTTTGTTTCTACTTGCGATTAATTTTATAAGCACGACCCCTGTTGGATATTAGTGTTTGATGCATACATAAATTATTAAAATAATAGCTTTATATTTAGGGAATTGTTTTAAGCATGCTGAATTAACAGAATTAAGTGTTAAGAAAACTATAAATAATAACAGCTTAAAATAAATTAATATTATGTTAAAAGTCGCCAACAGTTTTAGTTATCTGAAATGCAAAAAAAAGAGTTAGAATTGGATCTAAAAGAAAGTTTAGTAAATAATAAATGTATTACAGAAATGAGGAAGAAATTAGGAGAAACACTAGTGAGACGCTTCGTACGCGTCACAACTTTTATACCCGTACTCAGTCAGTATAGCTGTACCTCAGTGGTTTTCATGGAATTTGACATTTTAGATTTCTACTACAAATGTTATCTACATCTACATCACCCGCCAAGACTTCCGTACATAAGAAAAGCCAAGAATTACACAAATGAATTGAATTGCAATAATAAATAAAACGAATTTCTGGAACGATTCACAGCATCAAGTTAACTCGCATTCAAGAGTTACAACAATTAAAGACTAAAATCCATTAATCAATGCCAAATACTCTTTCAGTTTCCTAATGCTAGGTGGAGAAAATTGGGTGGCATGGGGAAAAACGGCAAAATGTTGGAAACATTTCGCCATGAGAAATGCGGGCGCTGAAATGTGGAAACCAGGGGAACAAACAGCAGTAATGGAAACACAGCAAACGGGGGAGCCCGCATGTACGTTACATTTTGATATTTACCCAAATTTCATATGGCCAGAAACAACAATGGGAGCTGCGAATGGTCTAGTACGGAGAGGCGGAACGGGAAGTGAATGGTCCAATCCCACCAATCGTCGATAGAGGCAGAAGTGCAGTTGAGCCAGAGGTAGCCGTAAAGGCAATGATCGAAATTAAGAGTGAAAGGAGAAGAGAACTGAACTGAAGTGAAGTGAAGTGTCCAGACCAAGGCAGACAGAGACGATGACGGACATGTGTCTGTGTGGGTGTGGGTGTGGGTGACAAAAGTGGGAATGATGCGGAATGAGATGAAAGAGAATAAAGAGATGTGTACATCCATATGTAGCAGCAATGTCAGTGACCTGGAAGAAATATAAAATAAATCGAAAGCAGATTGCAAAAATCAAAGTCACCAACAATCAACGCCATCAACAACAGCCATCTATCCAGCCAGCCAGCCAGCCACGAACTCAAGACTACAAATGGGAATGTGGGGGAAGGAATGCTGCGGCAAATATGGGAAAATGCCGGATATGGGGCACAAACCAGCTCCAGGAACAATCTCAAAGAGGGTGGGTGGAAATGATGCGGCGAGGCAGCTAAGCAGATAAAAAAGAGATACAACAGATAAATAGATACTGTGTTAGATGGATGATGGACAGTTGGCTAGACGAGCTCTGACTCGGTAGGAGGACTCTGGGGCAGGAGGAAGCGATGTTCAGGCATGACAGGGCCACGGAATAATGTCAAGAAAATCGAAATGTTTCGATTAAAGCTGAATGATGGAGCCGATTTTGGCTGTTTATAAATAATTGACTTTGAATTGTATTTGCAGGACATGCTCAGATTGTGTTTTGTTTTTTTTTTTCATGGCTGCCAAACTCAAATTTGCATGCGAAGATAACCGAAACGAAGTCATCAAAGTTTACCCCACCAATACAATAATGCTTTAGGCACAACATTTCTTTTTTTCCATTTTGCTGGCTTTCTCACATAATCCTAATTGGTTATGTTTCTGTTTTTTTTAAATAGCCGCCGCCGCCGAAGTGAACCTTGAAACTGTTGCCTCGAAGGTTACTTATGCATTCATTTTCGCTCACTTCTCGTATGTTTTCCTGATTAACTCGACTGGCATCTCCTCATCAACGCTTCACACAAGCCACAGGATTACACACCAGCCAGTGGCAGTGGCAGTGGCAGCATCTGCTGCATCGCACAGCATGCCACCAACAACAGCAGCAGCAGCAGCAACAAAAGCAACAAGGAGAAAAGCAGAGAGAAGCTTTGGGGCTACTGTTGGCATACTTAAAGTTCATAAAAAAGTCAAATTAATTCAAACTGCACTGCATACACAGATATGTACCAGATTGCCAGGGAGAGTGGGTGGCTGGAAGGGTACTTAACGCAGTGCTCAGCGCCAGGCAACGCGCTCGGCGGTTGTTGTTGTCGCTTAACTTATTTCATTAGCTCCTAAATGTATGAAATTTGACATTTTTTAAATTTAACTTTCTCTTTCGCCCCCCCCCTTCGAGAGCGAGAGAGAGAGCCACGTGCACAGAGGTGAATATGTGCTTGTGTGGCAAGGCAAGGCCATAAGCAGAACTTGCTGGCTGCCCTAATGGGTGGGCGAGGGATTATTCACATTTTCGCAGATTATGCATACGCATAGGCAGCACACACACATACGTAATTGCAAAGCTATTCATTAAGGCAGCAAAGGATTAAAATGACGCATTGCAAGAAAACAGAATACTTTGAATGAGAATATTCTCCATAAATGCAAAGAAATTAATTTTTAATTTGCATTTACTAAGCCAATTAGCTGCTAATAAATGCGATACGTAAATAATACAATCTTAAATCGATCAATTGCAATTTAGTTCATACAAAACAAAAATGCTCATGGCAGGACAGCATTGTAGCCATCCAAGTAACACCACAAAACCTGCACAAGAAAGAGCATCCGGGTGTTTATGTGATGCATTTTTGATTTTTCAAACTTTTTGCTGTGCCAAAATGTACCCTTCGGCACATGTAATTCCCTTGTAGAGTGGAAGCTCTCGGGGGTGCACGTGCTGCGTTGCCCATAAGTATGTCATATAATTTCTACGTTTTTATACTGCATCTGTATCGGAAGTCACCCACACACCTGTGAACACACACACACATGCCGCCTGGCAGGTTTTTTCTGCTGACATTGCGTGCACTTTTTTGTACCGAGGAGACAACAGCCGCGGTCAGCACTTGAGTGCTCCTCCCCCCGGGAGGAGGCAAATGGAATGGGAAGATTGGAGGTGATTGTGGGTTAAGCTAAAATGCATTCGATTGACAGCATCGGCAGCAAGGTTGCGAAAAAATACCAGAGATAAGCGGGATTTCCCATTTTCCTGTTATACACTTTTTAAAGAATTATTTGCAGGTGAAAATTCTTATACACAAAATGTGCTTTAAGTGGTGGAACTTGTATGAGCAAAGCTTCGCATGGAAACAAAGTTACCCAGCAAATAAAGAAGACTTTTGGGGTTCTTTTTGTGCATGTTAATCCGCAGAAAAAGAAAAAGACAAAGAAAAACCCGTCCCTAAGTACAACCAAAAAAAACGGAATTAAAAATTCTAGAAAAATTGTTCTTTCTGCTCTGCTAATCAAAGGCCAGACATATGCAAAGAAAGGACAAAGAATTGCTCATGCAAGGAGCACACACAAATTCCTAAGCATATCCATCAGGGGGGGGAACTCGAGCAACCATTCAGCCCATTCTCATTTGTCTTTCACCTGTGAAGATTGTCAGCAGAGACAGAGCCACAAACAAAATAAAAAAGTTAAGTTTCCTGTTCCCTAACACACACGGCCATGGACATGGCCCAGTGTTGGGATGCTCTCGAGTTTCAGGGGCTGCCATAAACTAGTCTGTTAATCTGTTCATCTTACTCCGTCAGTACAGGCTCTTGTCCTGCTTCTGGCATTGTCTCTCGTCTCTCGTCTCTCGACACTCGGGCCATTTGATCTCCATGTGTTTGCAACTACTCTATTAGCCGCATTTTAATTCAGTTACTTTAGTTTAGTGTCAACACAACAATTTCATACTTGACGACACTGACCAGCAAAACATACGAGACATACTTACAGATGGATGGGCTGGGCTGTGCTGGGCTGGGCTGGCTCTGTGCTTAAGTCCTTGAGTTTAATTTTGGGAAAATTTTCATTTCA